GGCCGCTCTCTTCGGCCTCCTGAGCGCCGGTGACCGGTGAGTGCGGCCCCGCATCTCTTCCTTTCCCTGCTCTCTGCTGTCCCCGCAAGTCGTCCTTTTGGGTCCCCGAGAGCGGGGCCGGCGCGGCTGAGGGCCCCGGCGGCTTCCCCGCTCCTCAGCGTGTCCCTGTGCTGCGCAGGGAGCAGGTGTCCGCCTGCGTCGCCGTCCTGGAGCGGCTGCTGCAGGCCCTGGAGCCACCGCATGCGGCCCCGCATCTCTTCCTTTCCCTGCTCTCTGCTGTCCCCGCAAGTCGTCCTTTTGGGTCCCCGAGAGCGGGGCCGGCGCGGCTGAGGGCCCCGGCGGCTTCCCCGCTCCTCAGCGTGTCCCTGTGCTGCGCAGGGAGCAGGTGTCCGCCTGCGTCGCCGTCCTGGAGCGGCTGCTGCAGGCCCTGGAGCCACCGCACCTCGTCCGGCACCTGCGGGAGGAGCTGCAGAAGGGCCTCGTCCACCCCGACGACTCCGTGAAAATCCTCGCCATCTCTCAGGTAGGGCTTTCCCCCGCCAGCTTGGCCGCAGGCTTACCCACGGCCCTGCCCAGGGCCAGGCTGGGCTACTCTGATGCACTGTGTTTGTCTCGTTTGTGTGTTTGGTTTTCCTGTGTGTTTGGTGTTTTGTTTTGGTGCTAAACTATGAGGAAAAACACCGTGCTGAATGTTGATTGTTGGGGGAGCTCCTACTTTGGACGTCTCCTGTACGATACGTGGGTATATAATACTTAGTGATGTGGCTCTTAAGTATCCTACATAAAGCTATAATCTTGCCAGAGGTAACCTGTAAACAAATCTTCTGTGTAATGGGGACTCTCATCACTTCTGTGCAACGTGTTCCCAGCCAGCACTGGTGCTACAGGAATTAAATACAGCAACAGTTTGGCAATTTGGGGTACTCTGAGTAATGTTGTAGAGGATTAGGGTGTAGTAACTTGGTATTTCTTGCACTGAAAAGATGTAACATAGTGCTTGATATAGTGACTGGCATGTAGATTTAAGATCTTATGTTTAAAACCTTCATTTTAAAGACTGTTTCTCACATTAACAGAATATGAGTATAAAGGAATGTAACTAAACTAATAGTGTATTTAATAATGTTTTTAGATTGGGAGGATTGTTGAAAATCCAGATGCTATTAGGGAAATTATCGACAGTCCTGAACTATTACGGCAAATAATCTACTGCATTGGTGGAGAGAAAATAGCCGTGGCTAAAGAGGTAAGCATTGCTTTCTCTTTTTCTCTTTAACAAACTATTTGACTTGGAAAAAGCATTTTGTGTAGTGGGCACTGAATAAGTGGTGTGTCATGTGATAGGACAGCTCTTTTTCTGAGGAAAAGAGAGTTTGTGTAGGTTGAAAGACTGGCATCAGTTATGCAGCATAAAACATAGTAGGTGGTTTATGTCACAAATTAATATGTTAGTAAAGAATGGTTTAACTCTGGCTTGAGTTTTATGTTTGTGTCTTATGATGAACAACTTGCTGTTGTTTGCAGGCCATCAAATCTCTTTCCCGGGTCGCACAGACGCAGGATGGCTTGGAGGCCTTGTTTGCGAGCAGCTTGTTGAGTGACTTGAGGAATGTTATGGCAACAAATGATATTGTGCGGTACAGAGTGTACGAGGTAAGAACGAGATAAATGTTAGCTCTTGAGATGCTGGAAGCAGGTGCTGTATGTGTCACTTAAGTATGGTAATGGGAAAAGAATATAATTTAGATGTTCTGGACCTTAAAAGAAATAGTGGTGATTATTCTCTCTCTCGAGGAGAGAGAAAAAAAAAAAGTGGAAAATGAAGCATTTGCTGCAAGTCTGGTAGATATTTAGATGTATTGTGAAGCATTATAAAAATCTTAAAGATATAATGTAAATTAAGTTTAAATCTTATGATATAACCGAAGTGCTAACGTGATTTTAACAAACCACTTCCTTCCCCTCCCTGTGCTTTTATTTAGCTAGTGGTTGAGATTTCTTCAGTGTCAGCTGACTCGCTAAATTACTGTGCAAACAGTGGATTAATATCAGAATTAATTGGAGAGTTGACCGGAGATGATGTGCTAGTCAGGTATGTTGGTAGTAAGCGAGTTTGCTGATGTGATATCCTACATTGTTAAAACAGTTAAAACAGTTCCTTGCTCTCAGTTACCTTCTACTAAACTCCTGTGTGTCTCTTCCCTGGAAGGAATTCTGAGAGAAAGTATCTACATCTTCACCCTTCTCTCTCTCTCTCTCTCTATCTCTAGACTTTTTTTGCATGTAAAATACTGTTTTACTTGAAAATGAGAATGAAATTGAAGGTTTCCTGGTATGCTACAATAGTTATCATGCTGGGCTGCAGTATCAGCAATTTGTGTGTTTCTTAAAGATAACTGAGTGGGCTTGGAGGAATGTTGGATAGATGTATGAGTTTTTGTACTTCAAGGTTAGAAAAACTATCTTTCTTAGTGTCTAGGTACTCTCAAAATGTGTCTGAACAGGACAAATGTGGTGTTTGTTGCAGAGCTACGTGTATAGAGATGGTAACCTCACTGGCTTATACTGCCCATGGACGCCAGTATCTTGCTCAACAAGGAGTTATTGATAAAATTTCCAACATTATCATTGGTGCAGAGTCTGATCCTTTCTCTGGCTTCTATTTACCAGGTGAAATTATGCATTTCTTGTTTCTAGTGTTATTTAGTATTTGTTATGTGTTAAATGGAGAGGACAGTTAAGCTTCAGTTTTGAAAGCTTGGGAGTTTTTGCATATTTAGAACTCATCATGTATTGGGCATATACAAAAATGCTGAAAGGCAGCTAATAAGTGAATAATGCTTTTCACTAAGTGGTAGAAAAGAGCAGACCACTGTGTAAATGCAGAGTTTAAGTATCGTTGTAGGCTTTTTTGAACTCAAACTCCCCCAAATCTGTTAAATCAAGAATTAAGTGACTGATGGATGAGTTAATCTTGTAATCGTAGCTCCGGTGATGACGCTTTGCCTATGTGGAGGATGTTTCTGTGTTATGGTGCTGCACTTCACGTTCTTAAGCTTCCCTTGAGAGCCAAGGGAAGCTTGCATTTCCTCTGTATTAGAGCCTCTTCAGAATACCAATATGTTTCTAGGCCTTATCTTTGATACATTTAAAAATGATATGTGCATTTAACAATACTTGCTTAATGGTGGAAAGAATATTGGATCTTTAACATAGCCAAAATGATTGTTTCTGTAGCCTGATGTTTTTTTTGTCTTGTCAGGATTCGTTAAATTTTTTGGAAATCTGGCCGTGGTAGACAGCCCCCAGCAGATCTGTGAACGATACCCTGTATTTGTGGAGAAAGTCTTTGAAATGGCAGAAAGTCATGATCCAACCATGATCGGAGTGGCTGTAGACACACTAGGAATCCTGGGATCAAACGTGGAAGGCAAACAGGTTTTGCAGAAAACTAGTTCGTATCAATCTCTTTTTATTAATAAAACTGTCTGTATCTCATAATGAGATTGACCTTATATGGTATAATAGGGAAAGGAATTGAAAAGGTTAAATTTCTCCTAATTCCCATATGCACAGGTGTGTGAATAGCTGCTGGTGGTTGTTATACTGTCTTGCCAGGCATGGCAGTGTGAAATATCATTGTGAAACTAGAATTCTGATATTGCAAGCATTACTTGATTTCTGTTGTTTGTTTTCTAGTGGGTTGCATTATATGTATTCAGTGATACTGTAATTTTAGATTCTTCTGATCCTACTGATATCATAGCCTTCTCCTCACTGGGGCAGAGAAAATACAGATGATCATGTAATGACACTTCTGTTGAGAACTGCATTATTTCTTTTAATATTAAGTGGTCCAAGTATTGAACCGAGGTGTCAGGCTTCTGTTAGCAGGTAGCTATTGAAGCATTGTAGAATGTGATTGAAGACTTCCAATCACAAATTAATTTGTGTCCACAGTTCCCAAGCCAACTCAATTATCTGTTGTGTGTAGCATTCTTCTTGGAAGCCTTTGCATAGTCCACAGATGAATGAACCTAAAGGGATATATATTTATATCATATATCATATTTAGGACCATATGAAGCAAAGTAAATCTTGTACTGGTTTAATTAAATGAGGTTAAGAAACTGCTTTCTAGTAGCTTATTTAGTATAATGCCGCTGATAAGTTTTCTACTGCTGTTGAGATGTGTCCAAACTAAATGGAAGCACTTTGTTTTTATTTTCAAAGGAAGTAGGTTTCAAAATCTTCTAAGCAGAATCGGACATCAGGCAAAGAATGCCCCAACAGAATTAAGACTTCGATGTTTGGATGCCATTTCCTCTCTGCTTTACTTGCCTGTAAGTCTGTGTTGCTGTTAGTTCCCGGGTTTAAAAACAAACTTATTCTTGCATCTAAATGGATGATCAGGGACCTGGAACATCTGCCCTATGAGGAGGGGCTGAGGGAGCTGGGCCTGTTCACCCTGGAGAAGAGAAGGCTGAGAGGGGACCTGAGCAGTGTCTAGAAGTACCTCAAGGGAGGCAGTGAGGAGGACGGTGCTGGCCTCTTTTCATTGGTGGCCACCGACAGAACTAGAGGAAACGGCCGGAAACTGAAACACCAAAAGTTCCACAGGAACTTAAGGAAAAATTTCTTACCAGTGAGGGTGCCAGAGCCCTGGAACAGGCTGCCCAGACAGGCTGTGGAGTCTCCTTCTCTGGAGATCTTCAAACCCGCTTGGATGCCACCCTGTGCCACGTGCTCTAGGTGACCCTGTGTGTGCAGGGGGTTGGACTAGATGATCTCTAGAGATCCCTTCCAACCTTAATGATTTTATGATAAATAATGGTCTGAAGGCATGTTACAGTATTTCAGTTAAGTGCCCATTCTTAGATATACCAAGTTAAGTCTACTGTTTTGAAATGCTTTGAGTTATTTGTAGAAGGTAAATATTTGAGTGTGCTTGTAAGAAGCCACATGCTCAGATTTTTGTTTCTAAACCCTAAATCAAGATAATGCTGACAAGAGAAGCAGAGTGAACAGTATAATGTGCTCTAAAGGGATCGGGGCAAACTGTTTTAACTTTAGTGACCTAGTTCTGATAGCGTAGTTGTGAGTCAGTTTAACTTGTAGGACTGCTCTCCACAGTAGTCTACCAAAGCAGATTAATTCTGCCCTTCAGGCCTAACAAAATACAGAAAGCCACTTATTCATGAAAATAAGTTGAAAATTTAAAACAACTTAATCTGTTGGTGGCTTAAGGAAGTTAGACTTCCTTAAACACTGAACAGATGCTCAAAACTTGAACTGGTCATAATCCTAACAGAATTCTTTTATTTCTGTGCACATCTCTTGTATGTGTAGCCAGATCAGCAGACGGAAGACCTCTTGAGAATGACCGAGTCGTGGTTTGCATCCCTGTCCAGCCAACCATTGGAACTCTTCAGGAGTATCAGTACTCAGCCCTTTCCTGATCTCCACTGCGGGGCTTTAAAAGTGTTTACTGTAAGTTTACTGCTACTTAAAGTTGGTGTAGTGAATTCTGTTGCCTCTGACAGTCTGAGATTGGGTCAGTGAGTGTCACAGACTTCTGGCTGAAATAGGGTTCTGTGCCCCAGTTGCACTCGCTGATTGAATACTTTGACCAATGGGTCAGGCACACAGTGTTTATTTTCTTGTAAAATTGGGAGGGGGAGAAGGGAGAGCTCTCAAAACCTGGATTTTGAAGAGGCTACTCCGTGTGATATGGTGCTTTAATAGTTCATTTACAATGTAATAGAGAAGCACTGAAGTCTCCTTGATTTCCAGTGAAGAGCTCTGTGCTTGGACAGGACATAGCTGTCACTGTTGGATGACATGAATATCCCTCTTCAGTTTTAATTGATTCCTTGATTATGACTCTGTTTTTCTGCATTGCTAACTTTTGTTTTTTAAAATGAGCTTTTGTTTTCCTTTCACATTTAGGCCATTGCAAACCAACCGTGGGCCCAGAAGTTGATGCTTAATAGTCCTGGCTTCGTGGAATACATTGTAGACAGATCTGTGGAACCTGATAAAGCTTCAAAGGATGCCAAATATGAACTGGTTAAGGCCCTTGTAAACTCTAAAACAATCGCAGAAATCTTTGGAAATCAGTATTACTTGAGGCTTAGGGCTTACTTGAATGAAGGCCCTTATTATGTTAAGGCAGTTTCTACTACAGCTGTGGAAGGAGCTGAGTAGTGTCACAGCAGCAGCCTGTCTCAGTCCTTGCAAACGATGTTCCTGAAATAGCCGTTAAGCTTCTTGCACACTGGAGTTGTTTCTAGATTGCCTCTTCAAAGAATCTTGAAGTATTTGACTCGATTTGAAGCAAGTGTCATGAGTGCAAATTGTAACTTAGAGTGCAATGTTACTTGAGTATCATGGCACAGATCCTCTGTGCTCTGTCCTGAGACAAGTAGCCCAGGCAAGTACTGTGTCAACTGCAGGCTCTGTGATATCTTGCAGAAACTATCAGTGTTTAGTCAAACTCTTGGGCTTGGAGCTCCTATCATGTTTTTTTTTCAGTAGACTATATTTCAGTTAAAAGCAACACCAAAAACACGTTGAGGTTCGTGACCTCAGATGCTGTCATTGCTTCTTTTTTGTCCTTATATCTGCCTAAGGTGACATCTGCATGGAAAATACTGTGTTTAGTCAGTCATGTTCCATCAGAAAGCTGGTTGTTAAACGTGAACTAGGACTCGTTTAAAGGGTTTGTGCTCATGTGAAGAACAAACTGGATTCTCTTTTGTTATCAGTTTGCTAGTTGTAAGTCTTGCTTTGAATAAAATAATCCTATATATTGTTTACATTTTATGCTGAGAATAGGAAACTTTTAGCCCTTTTAAACAAAAACTGCAGACTCCTAATGTATAAAACCAAAATGGGAGCTTTATTTCTCTAGCTAGCTGCTACTTTATATGGCAGTTCAGCTTACTAGCTGTAGTGCTGTAACTCTAATTCAGAACCAAATCTTAAATTGTTTACACTATTTTTATTAAAAACTTTCTAGTTTTGTGTTATTTAAAAACACAAGAGTTTTAGTTGCCTGATTTGTAATAAACAGGGGAAGAGCAAAAAGCTTTCATGTTTAAAGGCTTAAATGGAGTCGAGGAGGAAACAAATGTAGTACTTCACGAGGCTTTATATCTCCTGAAGATGCCCAGCTAATATATGGGCTGTAAGGCCAGCTGTACAACTGGCCATGTCAGTAAGTGATGCCTTAATCTGTAAGCAAGGACCATGATGGTTTTTGTACCAAAAACTTCTTATTTTTGTTGAGATGAAAGAAGGAAAGAAAAAAAGACAAGCTGGAGGAAACAATAAAACACAAGGTTAGAGAAATAACACACTACGGCTTTACTCAAGGTCAGACATGCCTCTGTGGAAAGTACTCGTCTTTATCCTCACTCTGCCAAGTGACTTGGGATAATCTAGGCATGTAGTAACTTTTTTTTTTTTTTCTTAGCTTGTAGAAGCTTTGGGCTGCAATCAAGGTGTTGTTTTTTTTTTTTTTTCTGTCAAAAAAGTCCTGTTGAGGAATGGAAGGGGGCTCAGAGAAGCAGAGTGGGTGGGAAAGGGCTGTTAATGTGCAATGAGCTATCTGAATGTGGGTGAGCTCCCCTGTTTGACTGCCTTTTTACTGGTATGTACAAAAATCTGTCATCTGAAATTTTACTACTGCTCACACTTCCATCCTCAATGTGCTTAGTAAACATCTGCTAGTGAGGAAGGCAGGACCAAGTGTCTCATCTCTAAACAGAGAGAGTAGCAGCAGCTTCACGAATCCTGCATCCAGAAAAGTATGAAACTATTTAGCAACAACATGGAAGAATGCAGAGGTGCTTCTTTTGCACTTGTTTTGGGTTGTTCAGTTTTGCTGTTTTAGGTGGTATTGTATGCTGATAGCTCTGTATGAGCCCTGTATAAAGATCTCTGTAAAAGAAATCAATATAAACCTTTTTTCAATTTATGAGTCTCTTCCCTGTGTGTTTTCAGCTGTTCCTTGTAAAAGTTACTGTGTGCCAAGACTTAAACATCTGCTGTGCATGGTACAGTTGTCTGATTAAAATATTTCAGAAGATGATGCCAAAGGCTCTTTTTATACATGCCTAGTTATTCTGTTGAATTTAAAGCTTAATCATGCATCAGGCGATCACTCTTATCCCCTGCTATTCACATAGTTCCCTACCCCTCCTCTGTAGAGCTGCAGGGTTTGCTTGTTGGTACTGGTGTATTTTGTATTCAAAGGAGAAGATCCTTCTGTTATCTATAAGGTTGACAGGTGCGAGTGAGGAAAAACGGAGATGAATGATGGAGAATGGGATTTGAGGAAGAGAGCTTGGTTTTTAAAACGACCTCACTGCTTCACTGGCTAGCAAACTGCATGCCTTGGTATTTTTGGAAGAGTGGATTCCCTGGAGCTCACATCTGATCATCTGTGTCAGAGTGGGACCATGACAGGTACCTGTGCCTCTTCCATGTATCTATCACAAATGTACAATGAACTTGTCCTGCCAATCTTTGTTTATTTTCGCCCCCTCAGGAAAAGCTGGTCTGGAGAAGCTCAGCTGTAGGCAGGGGTAGGTTTGTGTGCTCTGCAGCTGCTCCCTGGAGAAGGGGGTTTTGCCTCCTGTCCCAAAATGCTATGGAAGTAGGTGCAAATTGGATCAAAAATGCAGGAACAGCTCTGGCACAAGCCAGAGGCACTGAGATGGGTGGAAAACACTGGGTACAGACCGACTTTCTTTGAATACTCTTTACTTCTACACATGCAGTTGTACATATTTAATATAGCTTGAGTACATCTGGTTCTTTTGCTATCAGAAACTAATCTGGAAAATGGGTTAGAGTGGTGAGAATCCGTTTGCTTTTAAAGGAAAAAGAGAGAAGGTGCTGGCTTTTTTACCAGCTATTTTACTGCGTGTGTTCAGTGAAATTAAAGATGGCCCTCATTTGCTCAAGTCTTAATCAGCAAAATGAAGAGCCCCATTTTTTATTGCATCCATGTCAAACTGTTTGAACTTATCAAAGTAGGTCAAAACTTTGCAGGACACCAAACCATAATAAGTTTCCAGTAATGAGCAATCTTTTCCATCTCTTATTTCCCTCCAGTCTTTAAATAGCTCATCCTCTTTCATGTTGGAAGAGGTGAAAATGAATTTATAGCAGCACCGGTTATATCTGATGTGCTTTTCCCCAGAAAACCGAGAGCTGTGAATAGGAGTGATGCCAGCTTTTTTAGCACAGATTCCTACAAAGATATCCGGGGGCACCGAAGCTGGCGCTTCCCTGGCGGCTACGTAGACCTTGCGAGCGACGTCCTGGGAGACGACGAAAGCCGCCCCGCTGCAGTAATCCGGGTAAAACTCCTCCGGGTATCGACCGAGGGGAACGAAGCCAGGGCTGGCAGGGTCTCTGACAGGTACTGCGTGATGAATGACTCTCCCTGTATAAACGTCCTCTAGCTGCATTAAGCTAAGCAAGTATCCAACCAAGCTGGGGATACTCACAAACGTTTCTTCGTCGGTTTTAAGGATGTACCTCGCATGGGGACAGAAAGTGACTGTCCATTCCATGCTCATCACAACCTTCTGCGTCTGAGTGGCGGGCGAATCGATGAAGCTCCCTTCAATAATGTCTCTGTGCTTTTGAGCCTCTTCATTGATCTCCAGCTGGGTGATTACTGAAGCTGGCTTTCCTAAAGCAAACAAGGTAAGGACGGCGTAACCTCTGGCGTCAGTCACATTGCCCCATGTCTGCCTGATCACGTTGCGCCTTCTCCTGTTTTCTGGGCTGCTGCTCACAAGAACTAGCAAAAATACCTCTTGATTTGAGCATGCCCCTGCGCTGCTGGTGGTGTAAGACGTGGAGAGATTGGCCTTTAGCAGATCTGTGTCTAACTTCCTAGCCCTCTCCCTGATTTCCAGAACCTTTGCATCAGTGTAAGAAAGGGGTAATGACCGCAGGAAGTATTCCTCCAGTAAATCTGCGCCAAAAAGCAGCACGTGGAAAAGCAAGACATTAAACAGAATGAAGCACCACTGATGGGTCCGGAGGCTGCAGAACGTCAGCTGCGGAAGAGAAGAGATGAACCTTGAATTCTCTTGATACTGCCCTAGAAAGGTTTCCACTTAGCTTAAAATACATTCAGGCGAGACAGTCTCTGCTTCTAGGTCAGTCTCCATATTAATGGAAGGCTTTGGACAGCCAGTTTTTCCTTCTAGAAACCTAGAGGTTTCAATACACATGAGATCCCTAGATGCGGACATCACAAGATGATGCCGTGCATCCCTATGTGGAAATACTGAGGATTCGAACAACTTCTGTCTGTCTTTTAAGCTGTTGCTGCTAACCTGGGATGTCAGAGGACCCATACTAACCTGGATTTAACTACCTGTTAATGTGAATCTCTGTTGATTTTTCTAGTGCCTCAGGAAACTTGGCAGGCTAGGAAGGGAAAGTCAGTGTCATGCAGCATTGGAGAAGGTCATTCAGAACTGAAGTCTCCACATGGGGACTGTCCTCCTGCCTCTCCTGCACCCTTGGTTTGGGATCGCTCCCTGCAGCACTCATCTCACTCCAGAAACAGGCCTTGGAAGGGCAGCCTCTGGCTCGGTCTCCCGCTCCTTGCATAGTCATATTCCCTGCTCTGAGGGATTAATCGGGCAGAGCACTTACCTGCATGGTGGCAGGGAACATGGGCAGCAGCCGGTGGGACAGGATGTTCAGGTTGGAAGCAATTTTCCCCTGGCTGGAGCCGAGGACGCGACGTGGGTGTCTGAGGCTGCAGGCTTGAGTTACACCCTGCGTGTGCCCTCACCTGCCTGCGGGGAGGAAAGCTGATCCCCAGGGTGATCCAATTGCAGCCGTGTCGAAGGGGCGAGCGGAGCTGGCCCTTCCTTTCATCCCTGCTGCTGCTCAGACGGGCCTCTCAGAGACCCAGCGGTGCAAAGCAGCTGCTAGTGATAACTGTAGAGCTGATTCCACCGTGTGAGGGGGCTGCGATGGGGCCGCTGCTCGTCAGGAGGAGGCCGGGGAGATAGTCCGAGCCCTTAGAGAAGTAGCAGCATTTTCCTTTCTGCTGGTGATCTGGGCCGTGTATTTTTAGCAAATGCTCTGCTTGGGAGCTGAGACTCGTCAGGAGTCCCATGCGGAATCACCCTGAGGCTGCTCGCGACGCTCCCGGCGAGGTGGCTGCGTGCCGAAACACTCATAGGATTAATTGGATGTGAGTCTCTTCACTATTGACCCTAGGTTATTAATCTGCTTTTTTGATTTATTGCCGTGTCGAAGCCAGGCCCGCTCCCTTGCCCGGGTGTGCGGCAGCAGCGCGAGGTCTCCGTGTATCCCCTCCGCCCGGCTCTGCCAGCGCAGACAGAATAGAGCAATGGGCTGGAAAGGGCCACGTCTGGTTTTTAATAACAATGTCAGTTGCAGTAAACAAAGGAAGACAAATGGATCAGTCTTAGTCACCTAACAGCAATATTTTTGCTTGAAAATGTGAATCAGCTCTTGCGAGCTGTTCTTCATGCAGAGCTCTCACCAGGCCAGGGGAACAGGGAGGAGACGGCTCTGCAAAACTTCCTCAGCACCCATTTCATTTGCTCTTTGATGTTCAGCATTCCTCAGGGTGCTAAATGAAAGCAGCAAATGTAGAACAACTGCCCAAAGTACTGATCTACTAGTCAAATAGCTTAGTCTCTTCTAATATATAAATGAGGGTTTTATTTTTCTATTAAAGGGCTTGGCTGGCTGAGTTAAAGCACGTTTCCATAGCCACCGTCGTAGCGTAGGTTGTCTCTTTGCATACATCAGTCTTGGAGTGACAGAGCTCCATCATCCCGTACACGTGTGTTTGAGAAATATTCCTTGTATTTAACAACAGCTTTGGCAGCTGCTCCCGCTGTGTCTCCCTGTGAAGAGCTGGAGCCTCCGCGTGTACCGTAAGGGCAGCATCCAGCACCAGAAACATGCAGCCTTGTGCAGTTGTGCTCTTTATTGCGAGGTATTGCTGGACCCAAAAGACCCAAAGGAGTTTCCAGGGACACGTGGAATTCACTGCTTTTAATCTTGGAAAAGTTCTGCTGGGGGGAAAGGGCAGCATCCCTTTCCAGGGGGAATATTTAGAGTGAACTAGTGAGGTGACCGTGTAAAAAGTGGTGAGTGTGACCAGAGCTGCAGCACTCACAGAATAGCTGGAGCAAAGGTGCTGGGGAGGAGGGAGAGCTCTCCCCTTTTCCTGGGTGGAAAAAAAAAGAGACTCCAGGACCAGCCCCCAGCACCAGCTCTATCTTTCCCAGAGCATCCAGGCAAGCCAAATGCGCTCTCAGGGACAGCTCGGAGCAGAGGACACCTGTGTCCATGGGCCTCTGTGTCCCCACTGCTCATACTGCAGAGCAGAGCTCAGCTGGGGCTTTCTCCTCCATCCTGGAGCCAAGTCCCTGGAGACCCTTTAAGGAGGAACTGAGCCCAAGTTGTGACGCGCCTCGCTCCTCTTGAGGCACGTGTTTGGATGGGGATGTTTTGTTCTTGGGCCTTTTTCTCTTCCATTTCTCAGTTATCTTCTCTAAACATCCTCCGCCTCCACAGGAGCTGCTTTAACTAATTCCTCCTCCGCTTCTGTGTGCTCGCCCAGCATGTCACTAAGCTGCCGTGCTGCCCACCCCCTTCCTTGCAGAGCTGCACGTTAACATTTTGCACTTGATAATGTGAGGCAATTAGTGAATGAAGAATAACTTTCCTGCTTAAAAGCACGATGGGTCGGGAAGCGTCACCAGACCGCGGTGCGGGAGGAGTATTCGTTGCCTTTCTCTCCAACGACGCCTGATGTAGGAGAGCCCATATGGAGAGGGAGGAGGAGGAGGAAGAGATGGTATGAGAGAGATGAAGTCTACGGTCCCTGCGGGACACATAAGCCCAAGAGCGTTTGAGTGGGCACGGCGGGGGCCACCTCGGTGGCAGCATGTGACGATGCGTCGCTGCTCCTGCCCCTGCGCTCCCTGCTTCCCCTGGAGCTTCACAGGGCCAGAAGGAGCTGTTGCCTTAGTCCCTTTAACCCTTTCTGGGAGGAAGCCGGGCGTTATCCGGCGCTCCCCTGCAGGGCAGGAATGTGGCTGCACCGAGGCCGTGTTATTGCAGGAGGGCCCCTCTCTGGAAGATCAAGGCGCCCGCCGCGCAGCACGGAGCAGGAATTCTCCACCGCCCGCGCCCTTGGCCCTGCAGCCTGTTTTCCTTCGGCCGCAACTCGAGGTGCTGTGCGAAGCACAAATATTTATAGGACTATTATTAAAAAAGAAAATTCTCCAGGAGGAGGAAGGGGGAGGAAGAGAGGCAGGGGCTGGGGGCTGCACATGGGACAGCTTGGCCC